ACTGGCAAACCAACTGCAACAGCGCATCAAAAAGCTTATCCATCATGATCAGGTAGGCTTCATCCCAGGGTTGCAAGGCTAGTCCAACATATGCAAATCCATAAAGGTAATTCACCACATAAACAGAACCAAAGACAAAAACCACATAATTATCTCAACAGATGCTGAGAAGGCCTTCGACAAAATTTAGCAGATCTTTATGCTAAAAACTTTCAATAAACTAGGTATCGTCGGAATGTATCTCAAAATAACAAAAGCTATTTATGAGAAACCCACAGTCAATATCATATTGAATGGCAAAAACTGGAAGCATTCCAGTTGAAATCTGGCATTAGACATGAATGCCCTCTGTCACCACTCCTATTCAATATAGTATTGGAAGTTCTAGCCAGAACAATCAGACAAGAAAAAGAAACAAAGTGTATTCAATTAGGAAAGGAGGAAGCCAAATTGTCTCTTTGCAGATGACATGATTGTATATCTAGAAGACCCCATCGTCTCAGCCCAAAATCTCCTTAAACTGATAAGCAATTTCAGCAAAATCTCAGGATACAAAATCAATGTGCAAATGTCACAAGCATTCCTATACACCAATAACAGAATTAAAGAAAGCCAAATTAAGAATGAACTGCCATTCACAATTACTACAAAGAAGAGAAAATACTTAGGAATATAACTAACAAAGGATGTAAAGGACCTCTTTAAGGAGAACTACAGACCAATGCTCAACGAAATAAGAAAGAACACAGGCAGATGGAGAAACATTCCATGTTCATGGTTATGAAGAATCAATATTGTGAAAATGGCCATACTGCCCAAAGTAATTTATAGATTCAATGCTATCCCCATCAAGCTACCAATGACTTTCTTCACAGAAATGGAAAAAAAACACAACACTTTAAACCTCACATGCAACCAAAAGAGAGCCTGCATAGCCAAGTCAATTCTAAGCAAAAAGAACTAAGCTAGAGGCATCAAGCTACCTGACTTCAAACTATACTACAAGGCTACAGTAATAAAAACAGCATGGTACTGGTAGCAAAACAGAGATATAGACCAATGAAACAGAACAGAGGCCTCGGAGGGAATGCCACATTGATCTTTGACAAACCTCACAAAAACAAGCAATGGGGAAAGGATTCCCTGTTTAATAAATGGTGTTGGGAAAACTAGCTAGCCATGTGCAGAAAGCAGAAACTGGATCCCTTCCTGATGCCTTACACTAAAATTAACTCCAGATGGATTAAAGACTTAAATAGAAGACCTAACACTATAAAAACCTTAGAAGAAAACCTAGGCAAAACCCTTCAGGACATAGGCATAGGCAAGGATTTCATGAAAGCATTGGCAACAAAAGCCAAAATAGACAGATGGGATCTAATTAAACTCCAGAGCTTCTGTACAGCAAAAGAAACAATCATTATAGCAAACCAGAAACCAACAGAATGGGAAAAAAGTTTTGTGATCTACCCATCTGACAAAGAACTTATATCCAAAATCTACAAAGAACTAAAACAGATTTACAAGAAGAAAACAAACCCATTCAAAAGTAGGCAAAGGATATGAACAGACACTTTTCAAAAGAAGACATATATGAGGCAAAGAAACATATGAAAAAATGCTCATCATCACTGGTCATTAGAGAAATGCAAATCAAAACTACATTGAGATACCATCTCATACCAGTTAGAATGGCAATCATTAAAAATCTGGAGACAACAGATGCTGCAGAGGATGTGGAGAAATAGGAACACTTTTGCACTGTTGGTGGGAGTGTAAATTAGTTCAACCATTGTGGAAGACAGTGTGGCGATTCCTCAAGAACCTAGAAATAGAAATTCCATTTGACCCAGCAATCCCATTACTGGGTATATATCCAAAGGATTATAAATCATTCTATTATAAGGACACATGAACATGTATGTTCACTGTGGCACTGTTTACAATAGCAAAGACTTGGAACTAACCCAAATTCCCATCAATGATAGACTGGACAGGAAAAATGATGTACATATACACCATGGAACACTATGCAGCCATAAAAAATGATGAGTTTGTGTACTTTGCAGGGATATGGATGAACCTGGAAACCATCATTCTCAGCAAACTGACACAAGAAGAGAAAATCAAACACCACATGTTCTCACTCATAGGCGGGTGTGTTGAACACTGAGAACACATGGACACAAGGAAAGGAGAATCACACGCTGAGGTCTTTGAGAGGGGACTAGGGGTGGGACAGTGGGGGATAGGGAGTTGGGGAGGGATAACATGGGAGGTATGCCAGATATAGGTGATGAGGAGGAAGGCAGCAAACCACATTGCCATGTATGTACCTATGTATCAATCCTGCATGTTCTTGACATGTATTCCAGAACCTAAAATGCAACTATATGTATGTATAAAGAGGTTTCTAAATCTCAGGGTGCTTCAGATATGACATAAACCCATTGTGTACAGGTGTCACCTAGCCCTCATCTTATCACATTGTAGTAACTGGGTCTTAATGAATTCATGCACGAAAATGACAATACTCTTACTACTCTATTGCTATGAGTAACACACTGCTTTTTGTCTTTGTCCTCTTTGTCCATGAAACTGTGCAGACTCTTCAGCATTCTTGGTATCTTTGTTCCCCAGTTTCTGTCCTTTTGCTTTATGGATAGACTCTCTTCTCTTTATTTAGTTTCTTCCTCAAGTTTCTGCCTCCTTCAATTGATTTTTTCAGTCTCAATTTCCCACTTGTCTGGGAAAAAAGAATTTGATTAAATAATAAATGGCAACAAACTAAAGTCAGAGGAATGAAAAGTGTGAATTCAGAAACAATTGTGGTTTGTACATAGCGTATAGGGCCCATGCAAATCTGTAGAGCAGCTGGGTTGTCAATTTCATCCCCAGCAGAGACATCATTTTAAAGACCTATTGGGTTTTAGAGTTCAAGAGGATTGCTGGGCTGGTGCCTTGTTTCTTTGACAGTGTTTACTCGTTCATTTTTTAGTGCTCACTACTAAAAATATTCTTTTCTTAGTAGATCTATGTCTGTCTTCCCTCCACTACACTTCCCAAGACCTCAAACCTTCAACAATAAAATCAATTTACACATATTTGGAAAAACATGACTAGTGTTAAATGATCAGGAATTTTTACTTGTTTGTTACCTCTTATTTCAGAGATGATGAGCAGTAGCTCTCTGCAATAAGAGTCCTGAGAATAAGTGGGAACCTGTTAAAATTAAGTTTTCCAGGCCAAACACACACTCCCCACTGCAAGGATTCTGATTCAGTGTGGCTGATGTGGGTCCCAGGTGTTTTCCATTTTTCATGAGTTTTTTGGGTGATTGTGCCACAGTTTATTTGCAGAACATTCCATGAGAAATCCTGCTTGAAAAACTGCCTCCTGAGTTGGTATCATGCACATTTGTGCAGTATAATAAAGACAGCTCAACCCAAGTACATAGATTAGTCACTGACAAATGTTAGTTGATGACAGTGATTTGCTCTGGTGTACAGCTCAACTGTTTGGAGAGTTTTGAATGTTATTTTTTGGCCCATGAGACTGAAAGACTCATATTAATATGAAACAACTGCTGATTAGCTTTAGCAATTCTGGATATATTCGGAACAATTTCTTCTGATCTGTGGCATAATACTATGTGCACATTATTAGCAAGGACCATATATATAGAAAGACAAGTAAGTAGAATTTTAAAAATGAAAACTATAGTTTATAAATAACTTCTGGTAAAATACAACTATCCCAAAGGTCTTCTATTTGAAGAAGTTAAGCAGTATGAACATTTTTTACATAAAGACTTAGGGGGGAATTTTTGAAAAGTAAAAATGATTGTGATCATCACTGTTGAGATCATAAGATATATAATAGGATGTTATTGGAAAATCATCTTATATCAGTGTGGTGGGAGCACTGAGGGAAAGTGTGTAACATACTAGCATTGATGGTTCTGCAGGAATCCAATTTATATTCTAACTTCCTAACAACAACACGTATGGAAAAATTCTTTCTTCGTTTTCTCTTTTTTTTTCCCAAATGAAATCAAAGTAAGTCACCCAAGTAACAAAAGCATCACACTACAGCTCTGTTCTTTGAGTACAGACCAGCACACTTCATTTTTATCAGGTTTGATTGGGAGTTACACACTTAAATTTAGTTTCAGTGCACTTCCAGTAAATCTCATAAGGAAAACACCGGCTACAGTGCTTTCTAGTGCTTTGTAGATAAGGATACCACAGTTTAGAATGCCAGGGACTAGGAGAATATTGGACACATTTCACTCTATATATCAAAGTGAATTATTGTGGGTTTATGTGGGACAATTGTTACATTAAACAATCTAACCAACATTTTAACATTTACACATCTTCAGTGTTAGTAGGTGATTTTTATTAATAAACCACCTCTTAAAAACAGCAACACATTGCAGCACTGTTTACAATAGCAAAGACCTGGAACCAACCGAAATGCCCACTGATGATAGACTGGACAAGGAAAATGTGGCACATGTACACCATGGAAAACTATGCAGCCATAAAAAAAAATGATGAGTTCATGTCCTTTGCAGGGACATTGGTAAGTCTGGAAACCACCATCCTCAGCAAACTGACACAAGAACAGAAAATCAAACACCGCATGTTCTCACTCATAGGCAGATGTTGAACAGTAAGAAAACATGGACACAGGGAGTGGAGCATCACACACTGGGATCTGTTGAGGGGCTAGGGGAGAGACAGCGGGGAATGGGGAGGTTGGGGTGGGATAACATGGAAAGAAATGTCAGATATAGGTGATAAGGGGATGGAGGCAGCAAACCACCTTGCCATGTATGTACCTATGCAACAATCCTGCATGATCTGCCCATGTACCCCAGAACCTAAAGTAAAATTAAAAAACAAAAACAAAACAGCAACACAAATTTCAGTCAGAAATTTTCAAGGTGTTTTATCTTTCTCAGAACTCATCTTGAAAAAGGTGCTGATACTTACAGTTGACAACGACTTTCACTTTCTTCACATCTGGGAACGACACATCATTTTCCGCACTGCATTCATATTCCCCAGCCTGGTCCCTTGTAATTCCATAAATGTCCAAATACTGTCCATTTTCAAATGGTTTTGCTATAAAAAAGAATACAGCATGTTTAATTGTAGCTGCCTGAGGCTTCCTTCAAGTAAAACAACAATTTCATGACTTCCTACAAGATACTGCTGACAAAACAATTCCAAATGAAACTGGGGAATTATTAAACCTTTTGTTCTTCTGTGTTCAGAGGAAAACTCAGAGAAAACAGCAAAGCAGAACAAGGTATACTATAACAACTATTTCCACAGAACAGGATATACACGTGTTGTTTTTAATTGATTGTGGTCTCCTAACCTCTTCACACATCAAATAGACTCTGCACATTTCTGTAATTGAGTTCAACAACCTCTGAGCAGTGTAGATGAAATTCACTAATATGACTTGGTACATATTGACTTTTCTACCATTTGAGCCAGCAACCTGACACTTAACCTAACTAAATGTTACTTTTCTTTTGTGGGAAATCTCCTACCCTTATTCAAGCATTCAAGTCAGATGTCTTGAAAAAAGTATAGAGATATATTTAACCATTGCTATATTTCAGTTTCCAAAATTATTAATGCTGCCAAGAAAAGTACAGTGTATACACTACACATAACTCACCCAATACATCTCTGACAAAATTATTATGACTCTCAAACTAAGGGTTAAGTGTTCATAAAAGCAAACCAAATTATATTTATTTGTTAATATTCCTGGGAAAACATTTTATTTAACCAAAAATAGCAGCAGATTAGAAATATAAAGATGTGGTAACGGATGAAAGACTACCCCCAAATGAATGAGATTTGAGAAAATAAAGGTGCCTTCCTTTAATAAAGAAGTTTTGTTTATTTGAAAATATTGAGTCGTTGAGCAGGATCTTAATTATCAGAAGTATGGCAAAGGTAGAATAAGCCTGTGTGAATTTCAAGAGAGGAGACCCTTCCACCTCTGTACACAGGTCTTGAAAAAAATCACATTGAAGTGCATATCAAAGGGAATTTAATAGAATCAATGCTTCTATTAAATGATTTCTTTTCAAAAGTCAATATTATTTTTGTCTTCCTCTTTCTATCTTGCCAAAACCATTGCAATGATGTAGGAGTTGGAGAACTGGTAAGAAGATTACATTTTAATGAATCAAACAAAATAAATTTTTGTTATTTGGCCATCCAAATCTAAAGTTCATTCCAATTATTTCCCCACAATGTTCCCCCATGGGCTTCTGTGTCTGGGCCTTTATTAACTGTGGCATGGTCTTCCTTCTGGGTAACTATGAGTTTGCTCATTGAAACTTTCAGTGTTTAGAATATGTATCATTAAGTCATTTCTCCATTTATCTATATGATCCTCATTTTCTAGTTGGCTCTTTTTGTCTTATTTTCACTCTTGCAATGACAATACTCTAGGTTTAAATGTGTCTGTCAAACTTACTGAAATTTTTAAAAAACTTCACATATGAGAATTTTTAAAATATAACTTAAATTATAAAGTAAGGATGGTATTAAATACAAATTAAAGTATGAGGAACATTGATATACTACATCAGAATTAAATGACCTAGTTGAGCAAGACAAAATGAAGTCAATCACAAGTAAAAAGTTGTATTATTGTGAAATTTTGTAAAAACAAATTTATTAGGGTCTAAATTATTCTTAAAACATTACTTGAATATTTCATTTTTTAATTAAAATTTTAATAAATAATACCCCCAAAATTCATGCCTTTGACAACACACACACATTGTAACCTGCTTGAATAAGCCACTGTTATTCACTCTTTAAGGAAAAAATTAAATATGCTGGTATGAGTGTGTGTTATTGTTTGTACTGTTAAACATTGCACAAATATAAAACTAGCTTTTAAATTACCAAAGAATAACAGTAAAAACATTAGATTTGTATGCTTACCAGGAATCAAGAGAAACAAAACTTCTAAAACTTAAAGAATTACTTTTCTTTTCTCCCCTAGCCTAAAGGGCTAAATGGCAGACTATGAAAGATTGAGAGTAACTGCAGGAAGCTGTATGACAAAATACCTCCAATATCAGGACTACTACTATATCAGATAATTCTAGAGTGCACTCTTCATATCTACTGAATATTTGTCCCTGGAGTTCACTGCACATTTAAATATTAAGAGATGCTTCTTCAACCACAGCACACCGACGGTCCATATTTACAACTACCAGAATTACTCGTAATGTTATGTAATGCATAACCCAGTTGCTATAGAGCCAGTGAATGGATTATATTGCCAACACTCTCAATAACACTAAAATAAGGATATGTTGGATAAACAAAGCATAATGCATGGTCAGCATCTTATTTTTCCCCCCACTGGATTCCTGGAACTTTAAGTAATTTATTGCTTCCATTCACCATGAATCAAGACTCCTGAAAGTTGTGCATTAAGCATTCTATTGTTTTTATACAAATAACTTTTTTTTATGGGATCTCGCTCTGTTGCTCAGGCTGGCATGCAGTGGCGTGATCTCTGCTCACTGCAAACTTCGCCTCCTGGGTTCAAGCGATTCTCCTGTTTTAGCCTCCCGAATAGCTGGGATGGTAGGTGAGTGCCACCAAACCTGGCTCATTTTTGTATTTTTAGAAGAGACAGTGTTTCAACATGTTGGCCAGGCTGGTCTCAAACTCCTGACCTCAAGTAATAGGCCAGCCTCAGCTTCCCAAAGTTCTGAGCTGCACTCAGCCCCAAATAACTCTTTTACCTGAACTTACCCTTGCTTTGTTCTGTCTCATCTTACCAGACTTGAATTCTGGATTTGGAATTTAGAGTTGCTTGCCCAGGATATAAATCCTGTAGTTTACTAGTTGTCTGTAATTTGCTTGGCTGCCTCACTGTTTTTTTTTTTTTTTTGGCTGTCCTTTGTTCTCCTTTGAACTAATTTACCTGTGCCTGAGCAAATCCTGTCTTCAGACACTCGGTTGGTTTAGATCCCCTTAGCCATCACTCTACTCTTAAGGGAAGAGGATTTGGGCATAGTACATTAAAATGCAAAGTAGAGCACTTCCATTTATACATGCAATATAATTCAATTTATCCCTTCAATGGAGGGGAAAGACAAGACTAAAGGGGTATAGAAAACTAAAGACATGAGAACCATCACTAAAGCCAAGACTTTGCAATGTTTATGAGGGATAGGTACTATCCTGGGTATCAGTTATAAACCTAGACCTTGTGATATGTTTTGAATCCTTTGGTATATCGATAATAAATGTAGATGAGATATAAACATACTGTGTTATGACTGCCTTCCTCTAGTCATAGGTTTTACCATTCTCCACCAGTGCAGCAACAGTTCCTGTTTTGTTCATCTCTATTTCCTTAGCTCTAGCATAACATGTAAAACATCATATACTTCATAAATATTTATTGAACAAATAAATAAATACAATAATTAATTTATTAATAAAGTCCTGTAAGGATTGAGCATGGGGAATCTAAACGTGCATTTGTAGAAGGTGTCACTTGTTTTTCAAAGTCATGAAGAATGAAGAGAACTTCAAAAAGAACTGTCATTCTTGCTGACATCTTGAATTGATGGGTGGTGGCAGGGGTTAGAACAGGCTCTGGACATTATCTTAGATCCTTTTCAACATTATAAAGCCTGACAAAAACAGTAAGTAAAATTTTGAAGAAGAAAGATAAGTACCACCCATAATCTGAGCCATAGTTTTTATTTGTGCATAATCTCTTCCAAGTATAGATAGAATTTTCTTACAAAATAGAGAACTGAAGAAAGTCTACAAGCTTTCAGTGATGCCACTATTGTCACCATCTTCAAAGAGGAAGCTGAAAATGTAAATAGCTCTGCTTTAATATATCTTTATGATACTTATTTCTCATAAGAACCTAGCCACAAAGAGTTCTATGTTGATCACTAAATGATATCTAGATTTGGTTTTGCTGTTTGATAGGACATTTAATATACTTTATGTTGCATTTAAAAATGGTTTGTGAAAGCATCAGTATTTCTCTAGAGTATCTGTGTGTTTCAGAAAAGAATTTTACAAAATAAATGTCTTTCCTTAATATCTAGGACATGATCCTTCACTAGTTTTACCCTCACATCTCTGGGAGTTTACTTTTACTTTTCCAAAACCCTTCACATCTTCACATTCCCCAAATATTGTTTCTGTTCTATGACCTCTCTTTCTTTTATTCAGTGCACTCTTTCAGAGGATCTTGTTCTTGTTCATTCATTCACATTTCATTACTCTCTTAATATTGACAAGTCCCTGATTGATCCATTTAGCTCCTATCTGTATCATGAATCTTGGACACATATATTCGACTGAACATCCCCACAGGAATGTCTCATAATCATCTCAAGTCATCATAACCAGAACAGATTTACCTTTACTGCTGTATCTGCAGGTCATCTTATGTTTCAAGTCTCAATGATTGCTTTGATCATGATCTAATCACTCAAGCCATAAACCTCAGCATTAACTTTGAAAAAACCATTGACTTCAGTCATCTATCGGCAACTGTATCCTGTCAATTTTCCTTGTAAGAAAGTCTCAAACTTATTCTAGGATCCTCTGTGTTTCAGCTCTGAATGCACATACTCATATAGTATGCCAATAATTGCCTACTGCTTTGTAGATCCACTTCAATCATTTTCTATGAACTTGCTCAGAAACAGTCTTTCTACAAGGCTGCCCTGCAAGAATACATACTGTTAGGGTCTCATTGCCATGTTTTACTAGATGATACCCTGTAACTGAAGATATAAAATATATTCAGGATGGTTAGTTTACATTTAAAATTATAATTATATTCCATCAACTTGTTAACTTGTTGTACATCAGCATATTTGGTATTATATAAACATCTCTCTTATGCATTGTACTATATTTATCATACCATGTAATTAGGGATGTGGGGTTTAGAACTGGATTACATGAGCTAAAATCTCAGCTCTGCCATTTATTAGCAACGTGACTTTATACCAGCTATTTAACCTTTAGTGTACTCATCTGTAAGTGTAATAACAGAACCTGCCTCATATGGGTGTTGTGAACGGTGA